TTGTATAAAGAATAATGTGGCATCAGAATTGGAGGAAGACTCATGAACAACCTGTGATCTGCAGATGATACAACTTGACTTGCTGAAAGTAGAGAGGATGTAATATATTTACTGATGAAGCTTAAAGACTATAGCCTTCAGTATTAATTGCATCTCAATGTAAAGAAGACAAAAATCCTCACAACTGGGCCAATAAATAACATCAAGATAAATGGAGAAAAAATTGAAGTTGTCAGTCTACTATCAACACTCATGGAAACAGTTGAGAAGTCAAAAGACATATGGCATTTGGCAAATCTGATGTACAAGACCTCTTTAAAATGTCCAAGAGCAAAGATGTTAGTTTGAAGATTAAGGTGTACCTGATTCAAGTTATGGTATTTTCAAATGCATGTGAAAGTTGGACAATAAATAAAGACTATAGAAGAATTGATGAATTTGAGTTATGGTATTAGAGAAGAACATTAAAAGTACCATGGACTGTCAGAACAACAAACAAATCTGTGTTGGATGAAGTACAGCTACAATGCTTCTTAGAAGCTAGACTGGCAAGACTTCGTCTTTCATATTTCAGATATGTAATCAGGAAGGAGCAGTCCCTGGAGAAGGACATCATGCTTGGTAAAGTGGAGGGTCAGTGAAAAATAGGAAAACTCCCAACAAGATGGATTGGCACAGTGGTAGCAGCAATGAGTTCAAGCACCACAGTTGTGAGGATGGCACATGACTGGCAGTGTTTCATTCTGTTGTGCATAGGGTCACTATGAGTTGGAACCAATTCGAAGGCACCTAACAACAATTGGTTAAAGTACACCAAAGACCAGCACAGGTCAGAAAGGGGACTACACAAGAGCATGAATATCAGGTATGGTTCATTGTTATTGTTGCTAAGTGCTGGCAAGTTGGTTTGCACTCATAGTGACCCTATATAGGGTTTCCAAGGAATGGCTGGTGAGTTGGAACTGCCGATTTTACAGTTCAAACCAACTTTGTGGTAAAGTGCTTATCATACAGCACAACACCAGGACTATTAGGGAAACCAAATTAAGCCTGCCACAGTTTCTTGGGTTTTTAATGTTCATACCTGGATGGATGATGGTGCTTCTCATGGAAATAGGAGCACTTGTTTCCTATTCCCCATCCCAAAAGTCCAGCCACCTGGTACACGGTGGTGATGGTGGTTTTGGGCTGTGGAGTCGGTTCCGACTTATAGCGACACTGTGATGGGTTTCCATGGCTGTAAATCTTTATGAGAGCAGAAAGCCTGAGCTTTCTCCTGTGGAGTGGCTGATAGCTTTGAGCTTCGAACTGCTGATCTTGCAGTTAGCAGCCTAGCTCATAATCCACTGTGTTACCAGGATTCTTTTGGTACATAAATTCTCAGTATTTGCCGAATTGTGCCTCATTTTAACCTTCTTTCAAATGAAAGGTGCCATGACCAGCTGGGCTCTTAGCTGTACTGTTAAGCCAATGTTTTCTTAAATATGAGTCACTGGGAACAAGCCCAGCAAAGAACTGGGATGATACCTGATTTTCTGATTCCAAATATAGTTTGGATCTGTAGATTAGCTGCAATATTTTGCAGCTGCAGTTATCTGACAGAAAAGTGCAGAACTGGTGATGCCACCAATAGTTATTCTAAACACACACACACACACACACACACACACACACACACGAGGGCAGACTGGAACAGTCTCTCCAGTCCTATGTGGCATCAAGGAAGTGAAGCAATGTGCACTGCCCAAAGGAACCCATGGGCAAAGGTAAGCAAGTAACAGAAAAATATAATGCCATTCTTTTGATATAAAATTGTTTAATTTTTCTCTGTTAAAATACACTCAATCCAGATGCTGTGGATCAGGTGACCAGCTTTTTCAGGATTCTTACTCCACCAGGAGAGTTTCTATCTGTGTCAGCTCTGGATCTGGTCACAGAAATTGGTATCTTTAATTCCAAATACTGAGTATGATGCAAATGATGTCATCAACATCTAATACATGGGCATATAGTTACTTGGTGGTCACTGCACGAGATATCAACAATGCAGGCTCAAAATATAAGATGTGAATAACATGGCTCTCTTCCAAAATAAATACATCAGGATGCTAAGCTTACAACTTTAAATGAGGCTAAAGGAAATACAAATTAAGTGCTAGCCCCTGTGAAGAGCAGTGCATGCAGACAATGAACTTGCATGTGTGGTCAGTTGAGTCAAAGCTGCTGGAACAGCCCAAAGTGCCTCCTCACAGCACCAGTCCTGAGTGTGAGGATGAAAGTGAGAATAACACAGAGCTTGGCCAGGCTGCTGGCTCCCACCTTCCTTGTGAGATTTGGCATTCAATGTACTTTCCAATAGTTTGCAACAGAAAGCAGTAGCAATGGTATCTTCTTCTTGGCCTATACTTTGAGGCCTGAGCTGAACAGGAGTGAAGAAGTGTTCTGGTTTGAGCAGATAAACTCCAGGGTTGCTAACTGAGGGACATGCATTCCTTCAAGCTGCAGTGTCCTTTGTGATGTGCTGAAAAGGGTTTTCATCCTCTCCTCCTCACTGCTGATCAGGTAGTGCAGAGAGAGCATTTTCATTCTAATGGAGGAGAACTTCAGTGTCTGCTTGATCTCCAAGTCTGATTTCTTACCTCCACTCTCATCACACACATCACCAATCTGCAGCAATGCTAAAGCTGTGTGTTAAGTTCTCACAGCAAGAATAAGGCTTACCTGAAGAGGTTACACATGATCGGGAAACTGTGCAAAGGGTTGTAGGCAAGAGGAAAAAGTTATTTTACCTCTAAGCAGACAATTCATCTAAAATATAAACTGGGAAATGATAAAGTGTCATTTATCAGTATCCTGGATAGTACCAAATATATTAAGCTGTTTTTCAACCAAAAGTAATAAACGGTTTTCTTGAGAAAAAAACAGCTGTGATTGTTTTGGTCTATAAGGTAAAAAGGAAAACAGTACGATGAAAACAGACACTAGACTTGACATTTAATGGTGTTAGTATTGTCTCAATTTAGTATGTCACAGATAATATCTCTGCCAGGGAATCCAGAAAACGTGTGTGTATAGTATTCATGACCAGCTAGAGCAGGGTCTTTCAATCTGCCAAGTTAGTTGGCTCGTTTTCTAGCAGAGGTTGGGTATACAGCAAAACAACTCTCCACAGCCTGTTTGCCTTATGGGCACATTTTACAGTGTCCACTCTCTCAGCCACTCAGAGGAGGCTAATGAGAACCCCCTCCACCTTCAACCAGTGGATAGATTTTAAATTGGTCAATGAGACAAAATCTGGCTATTTCTGGCACTGCTCCTCATCTCCTGCTAGTTATCAGAACCCACTCTGTACCTACGGATCCTCCTCCTGGCCTATGGAATATATGGTGAACTATGCTGGGCACTTCTATCTAAAACATGGCTGTGTAACTGAAAGGGGAAGCTCTACTTTGGAAATCAGTTTTAATGTAGGTTCTCTGCCCTGAAGAAAATATGGAATGGAGACTACGTCACCTTCCAAGTTAATAAAAGAACTTCCAACTTCAAAGATTTGTGGTAATCATGGTAGCTCAATCCAGGTATCTTAGGCCAGACCACACAGCCCAGGCAACCACATGCCTCTTCCCTTGTCATCAGTGGAAGGGACTGCCTGTCTTTGAGGAACTTCCCTATCATTTGTGTCAAGAGTCTTGCTTTCTAAAAACCAGCCAGGAAAGGGTCCTGAATGGACACAGGTATGCCATAGAAGGGTAGAGAGAGAGCATGGGGTAGGAGGCACCCATACTCTGCTTTTACTCCCAAGTGGTGGAAATTATTTCATGTTATTTGATAATCAGTCTAGCTCTGCCACTACTAGTCACTGACCAAGGCAAACCATTCATTCACTTTGGGCCACTGTTCTTACTCATAAAAACAGGGATAATATGTCCATTTTATAGCCATGAGGAGGCTTAAGTAAGAAAATATATATGAATGTCCCTACCTCATGGTAGACAGTTGAATGAATAAAACAGCATCTTGTATCACAAACTTACAGGGCACTGGGTTAAATAACATATTTCTGGGGCCAATGCTAATCCCCCCAAAGCCATACAGAAAGAGGCTCTTTCCCTCTATATGTCTGAACAAAAGCCTGGCTGGTAGTACTGTCTTTGGGGTCTGACCACTATACCATGTGGGCTGTAGAGACTCAGCTCAAGTGTGATGCTACAAGGAGAAATGACCAACAACTCAAAACCAAAAAACCATCCTCTGGGTCCTGCACTGGGGAGCTGAGAGACTCAGTCTTGCCTTTGACTTCCACCCATGGCCCTTGTGTCCTGTTGCTCAGCTGTTGAATGAACTTTTCACAGTCCAATAGCTTTCTATTTCTGGGCTTTCTATAAGAGGAAGGGTCCAGGAAATAAAAGAACCTCAAATCAAATAGTCTGCAAATGCTGGCTACTCTGAATAGGGACTGGAAAATAAAATACAGTGAGTTTTTCTATTTTGTGTTTGGTTGCGATGAGTTTAAATTTTTCCACATTCCCCTTAGTGTGTTCCAAAGGTTGACTCTTTGGGGAGATGATGGTTCTAATAAAAATAAAGGTATAATTCTTGGAACACATTGTAAATAACTAAAATTGCTTTGGCTAAGCCTAGGGATGCCTGGGTATTGAGACTTACCTGAAGAAGGGAAAAATGAAGACAATGTTTTGGGATGCCCTGAACTACATTCATAAAGGCAGGCTAGGCAAGGTACAAGCAGGGAACTAATCACGTTCTTTGCATTAATTCAATTTAGATGACCTGTGGACCTATTGCTCGTCCCTGGAGCCAATCCCCAGGAAGGAGTCTATGATGACAAGTTTGGCTCAATGCCCCTTCAATTCTGCCCAGCAAAGGAAGTCAGCAAATACTAAAATGTTCATCATTTCCTAATTTTGTTTTATAAAACGGAATTAGGAACATAAATAGTAATAAGTAACAAACCCCCAACCCTGTGTAGTGTTATCATCCTCTCAGCCACCTCTGCGTAGGCCAATAAGTTTGGACAGTTTTTCGCAGTTTTCAAGTTTCAGTGACTCTGCTTTCTGCTTCAATCGTTCATCTCTGTACAATCCTGCCAAATTTGTCAACTCCGACTCTGAAAGATACAAGAGGTCAACCAATTCATCAAACAAGTCGAGCTCTTTGGACTCATTCCGGTATTTCTGGAATAAAAACCTTTTACTTTATTTAATGCTTTTTTTGCCCCTGTCAGTTCTGTTTCAGAAACAGTTCCTCATCTATTCAAGAAACCCGCGTGAGGCAGCTACACTACGTCAGGTGGTGAGGATTAGAGGACACCTGTGCTCTATTATAAAGGCAGCGGATTTCGGAAAGCTGCACGTGTGCAGTAAGAGGAGACTGCTTCACAGCCTTCCTACCAACGGTATTCAGATGGTAGCTGGGAGGGAATGGAGCCCAACTGCCAGTTCCTGTCAGCTGAAACAAAGACAGCTGCTGCAGCATCCCCCTGTGCTAACTGATACCAAGCCTTTCTCTGGTGGCCATGCCATCCACAGAAGGCCAGGTTGCTGGTGGCTTTCTTCAGTCCCTCACCACAGGAGGGGCCCACAACTCAAAGACCAAAAGGCAGGTGGGCGCTTTTAACAGTGAAATCATCTGGATATGGTGACCTCTGTCTCCTGGACTAAATGAATTTCATTTCTCTTTGTGTGGAGAAGGGCATTCTATTTTTAAGCAGAATGGGATCTTTGCAGTCTTGAGTCTGTCTCTCTTTCTGATTCTTTTGTGAGCTAGACACACTTAGGAAGGAAAGTCTGAAAATCACCTCCCAAGCTGTGTTGTGTATAAAAGGATGGCATGCTTGGATGGGGTGTGCGGCTTCTGAAAGCCTCCAACAGAAGGCAGCTATTCAATGTTTAAAGGCCCATACTTGTGAAAATGCTATTTTTATCAGTTTGAAATATGCCTATTCCTTCTTAATCATCTTGCTGACAGATTTTGTTTTTCTTGGTGGAACGAGAGACACCTGTCTGATTAATCAGCAAACTGCCTGGAAACAGGAATTAATACTTAGCCAGAGGAAACAATGGGCATTGATTTCTGAATAAGTTTCTATCAACACAAAATACTGTCTGGAATTTCTGCTCACAATGATTCTATTTACACCAAGTAGGGCCCAAAGTACAGATTATGTACAGGACTCCAGGGTGAGGGTCATGCATGGAAACCCTCCCTATACAATGGGGCCAAAGAGCCTGGACTCTAGCCCAGCAGTTGCTTGGCAAGCAGCAGGTCTCCTAGGCTCCAGAACAATGTGCTCTTGCCACTTGGCACGAGTGTCTGCAGTGCTTGCTAGCCAGCGCTTGCCTTGGCACAGTCATCCTTGCAGGTGATGGGACTTCAAGGGGGAACGCGTACTGCACCCAAATGCAAACCTCAGCTCCTGTATCCTGCTCCAGAGCTCGTCACGGACACCATTTTGTGTGCTCCTCCGGGATGTAGGAACCCTAATTGGGAGGCTCCACAAAACCAGTCTGTGCTCTTGGCCCTCTGAAGTCACAGTTACATTAATACATGGAACATACATGGCTTTGCCTTTCTTTGAAATGGTTTCCTCAGGTTTTTATGTTTATGGAACTTTTCTAAATGCTTTAAAGCCTGGACTTTAGCTCCAGACCACAGCAAGAGCCACTGATCCGTAATATTTTCTGGATTGAAGACCGTTATATAAAGCTTATGAAAGAGACCGTCCCTCCCTCTAACAACTGCATATATTTTAATACTTTTCTCAAAAGATCACACTGCCTTCCATAAAGCTCATTGAAATCAGGTCACAGATCCCAGTTCCAGAACAATAACCTTACACAAAGTCTGTGCTTTACAGAACCATGTTTCATACCGTAACTCCCATGCTGAGAGAAACCTTTCAAACTGCTAATGAATACGCTACTTTGACAAGCTCTGTTAATATTCAATAACTCCTAAATACCTTACATTTTTTTTTTTTTTAATCTATGGGAGGGACAGGATTAACAGAGCATCTCTTTTCTTCTTTTTAAAAGGCTTGCCTAAAGCACTCCCTTTAGTTTCCCCTGCCTTGCTTGCCTGCCAGTGTAACAGATGGACAGAGCCTTGGGCCTTAAAGGTAAACTTAACTCAGGCAAATTGCCAAAAGCAAAGTCACAAAGCTTCTCCTAAGACTGCACAAGAGCCCAGAGCAGACTTGACTGCTAGAAGATTCCAATAAATCCCAACTATCTTCATGATCCAGGCCCTGAGACACAGCCAGTGAAAACCCAAGCCAAACAAGGCCTGGACTCCACCAGGAACCAAGCATTAACTATTTGCCAGACACTGTGCTAAAACTTCAATTCACACCATTTTGTATCATCCACACAAACATTTTGTTGTTGTTGTTATGTGCCAACAAGTTGATTCCAACTCACAGCAACCCTGTGTACAGTTTCCGAGGATCTAAATCTCTACAGGAGCAGAAAGTCTCATCTTTCTCTTGTGGAGTGGCTGGTGGATCTGAACCACTGACCATGTGATTAACAGTCCAACACGTAACCCACTACACTGCCAGGATTTCACACAAACATTCTAGGAGCCAGTTAGCTTTATTCCTGCTTCAAAGCTTAAGCTTCTATCCACACTGCTACCAGGCTTAAGGGCACAGAAAGAAGTACTCTTCTGGCAGGTGCTAAACTCAGCTCCGCCAGGTCAGGAGGTGGTTCCTGCAGTTACTTTTGTCCATTCTAGCCCAGTGGCAAGGCCACGTCCCCTGGCATTGGGATTATTATCCAGATGCAGCTGTGAAGGAGTAAACAGGGCAGTTAGTGTTCCCTGTAGGGATTACTCATAAAAATTCATCCAGATTAAGCATTCTAAGAAAAATCAGAGAAAAATTAACAGAAGATTTAAAAAAGACAATGGCTAACTTTGCTAAAAAAGCAGTTTCCATTCGGTACTTTGCCAAGAGTGAACTTTACTCTCAAGTGGGTTTATTTTTACAACCTCCAAGTGCTAAATTTAACTTCACAGGCTGCACTTGCTGTTGGATCCGGAGGACAGATGCTGTTCGTTCTCAAATGGCACTTGGGTTGTGTGGAGGCTCCGGACAGCCGCCATGTTTAAATGCCAGAAATAGACTGTTAAGAGATGTGTGCTAATAACATCCCATTTGGATCTTGTGAGTATATGCATCATGCTTACCCGCTGAGTTCTAATTTGTACTAAGAGTACACCAAAGCCCTAAAACTAGGCTTCATGGGTATAGGGACAAAAGCCCAGAGTCTACCTTAGATGCAATTTTTACTGTGAGCGCTTTGCACAGTTCCAGTATCTTGTTGCCACAAAGGAAGATATGTATGGCATGTGTGTATGTGTGTGTGTATATATATATATATATATATATATATATAGCTCTCTGGTAGCGTAGTGGTTACGAATTGGGCTGCGAACCTTAAGGTCAGCAGTTCGAAACTACCAGCTGTTCCGCGGGAGAAAGATGAGGCTTTCTGCTCCCATAAAGATTTACAGCCTCGGAAACCCTGTACAGGGTCGCTATGAGTCAGAACCACCTCCACGGCATATAACAACAACATATATATATGTGTGTGTGTGTATTTTCATCTTGTTCTTATAGAGAGCAATGAATCCAAAACCATTCTAAGGCTAATAATGGGGACTTGTTAGACATACTGGTACACTGTGGATTTAATCTGATTTGAAGTGATGCCAGCACTTCTACAATGCTTTTTCTGTTTTGTTTTTAAACTGTTGTAAAAAACATACATAACACAACATTTGCCAATTCAACATTTTTCAGGTTTTACACTACCTTGTATTCCAAGGCCTTTACCTTGTTCCAAATTTCTCCCCCTGATTTTCAGAGCCTGCAAAGCCTGGTGTAACAACGGGGTAGGGTACTTCATGTTCTCTTAGGTCCTTTGTTCAGTAAAAAAAGCAACTTTTTTATTCTGAGTGACTCCTCCTCATACTCCAGAGTCATGGCCCACCAATCTCCTTAGGTACTTTGAGAATTCAGCTAGGCATTGTATTATAGAACTAGAGGGCAGAGAAAAGGTCCCTGATAGTTAGGGTTAGGACACTATTCCTATTCTATTATTCATAATCCTCAGCATTTTCATAGTTTCCCAGTCCTGAGATTCCTCTCTTCAAAAGACAGGGCCCAAGGTACAAAACTGGAGCCCTGGTGTGGCACTGTAGGATAAGCACTGGACTGCTAACTGCAAGGTTGGTGGTTCAAACCCATCAGCCCTCCTGGGAAACCCTGACAGGGTCACTGTAAGTCAGAATTGACTCAAAGAGACAGGGATTTTGTCCTTAGAGACCCCACACTCCAGCAGGGAGACAGACATGTACCTGAGGAACCGAACACTGTGCAACCAGTACTATGTTAGCAGGATGAGCAGAGTGTTTTAAGAACAGAGGAGAAGGAAAGATTAACTTGGGGGAGGGGTTGGAAGTATGTGATAGGTCAGTGAGGACTTAATAGCACTGTGACTGAAGAGCTAATTTTATCAGACACTGTTAGATGTTTAATAATATCCACTAGTGTTTTAAGTGAATCAGAGTTTGCTCTTTAAAAATTAACCAGACCCAGGTTTATAAGCTATAGTTACTAATGCTATGTGTGTGAATGGAGGAAGGGTAGCAATTCAAGTGAGATAAAACGTGAGCCTGTGACTGAGACACAGGACTACCCTTCAGTAACACTCACTGGACTGGGCTGCTGAGTTGCCAACATTGTCATCCTCATTGTCTCCAATCCAATCCAGAACTAACCCCTCTGCTGTCCTAGTCGCTCATAGTGACCTTGTACGACAGTAGAGTTGTCCCATAGGGTTTTACAAGGCTGAAATCTTTAGGGGTTTCTTTCTACTACAGAGTAATTAGTTAGTTGGTGGCTTTGAACTACCGACCTTTTGGTTAGCAGCTGAATGTTTTAACCATTGTGCCATGAGGGATCCTTCCCATATTTTCCAGAGGTGAACACAGAGTAGAAGGGCTGCTCACAGTCATCCCTACTACAGGAGCTGACCCAGGGCATGCATCCTTTTAGTTTTGTGTTGCCACAGTAGGTTAGAGGTTGGAAGGGCACCTGACTCAAGTCTAGCAACTTATAAACCTTTAGTCTGGTTAAAAAGTTAGGCAGTACCAATCTGATTTCTCACTATGGAATGTGGAATTAGGAAACTGTGGATCAAATCAGTTAGCAATGAGAACTTTAAGAAAGAGCTTATATAAAATGTATAAAAAAGGTTGGGGGATTTGGAAGAGTGGCTAAGAGGATAGCAACCACAATAAACCATGGCAAAACAAAGTTATGAAGGAGGAAAGCCTGAGGGAGGAGAGGCAGGCAGTTGGCAGAGAGAGGCACAGACCCAGTGACAGAGCCACAGACAGTACTGCATAAGTTCCCAGCCACATGTATCTTGTCAATAATCTTCCCCTTTTTTGTAGTATCCTAAATGAACCATAGTTCTATCTGTTCATGCAAACAATGTATGGCCCAAACAAGGAGAGGGGAGGGATCAGGAAGCTGGGAATCATGGCTTCCTGCTAAGACCACTTCAGAGCTTCTTACTTTGTTGCTTCTCCTTCCAACAACTTGTCTGGATGTAATCGATGTAATCCTTCTCTATTGTCTTCTCTAGGTCATGCAGAGATGCTCCTCTGTAGGCCTTGTCAAAGTTTTTATCCACAAAATAAGGCACCTGCAGGTTCTGGGTTTCTCTAGAAATGGTGTGGCCCAAGGTCCTGAGACAAGGACAGAAACCCAGGTGAGTTTGTCGTATTTAGCACTATCGCTCTTAGCTTCACAGCCACCAGTCACCTCTGCACAGGGCAGATGTGGATACACCCAACATGTATTATTATTTCCATAGCAAAACAGTAAGTATAATGTAATCTTGATTGGTTTGATGTCAGCATGTCTATAGTGTGAATTCAACCCTGGCTTACAGAGTTTATTCTCTTACATGACTCACCTCTTATTTATTGCTTTGTACAGTAAAAGAACACCAAATAATGTTTTAAAAAACCAATTGATAAATTATTTGTAGACTCTACCATGGTATCTTGTTAAGTTGTTGTTAAGTGCCGTCGAGTCGGTTCCGACCCATAGCGACCCTGTACAGGGTTTCCGAGGGTGTAAATCTTTACGGGAGTAGAAAGCCTCATCTTTCTCCCGCGGAGCAGCTGGTAGTTTCGAACCGCTGACCTTAAGGTTCGCAGCCCGATTCGTAACCACTACGCTACCAGAGCTCCTTGGTATCTGGTTATTGGTAAATGCTGGACTAATGAACTGATTAACATTACAGTAAACTATTTACAAATAACCAGATGACTTATACCAACCTAGTAACGATTTTTAGGACATGATAAAACATACTTTATCTATAATTGCTAAGTGAGAACTACAAAAAACTCAGACAAAAGATTTCAGTGATGATTCATTTTAACTTTTTGAGGGTCAAAGACATCTGATGGTATCTGGTGCTCAGAATCACTAAGAGTTCTAGGTTAAATAAATTCTAATCATATGGAGTTTGGTGCCATATGATAAGCACTGAACTGTGAACCACACAGTCCATGGTTCAAGCCTATCAGTTGCTCTGCAGGAGAAAGATGAGGCTTTCTGCTCCCATGAAGATTTAAAGCCTTGGAAGCCCTATACAGGGACATCATGAGTCGGAACCTACATGATGGCACTTAACAATAACAACAATATGGAGATATAGAAGGGATCTCAAATTCAGGTTAAAAAAGTATGATACATTTGCAAAATCCAATGGATTTAGTGCAAACTGGACAAATTCTACCTTAAAGGAGTTACATCTCCATCTTATCTCTCTGCTTAAGGATCTTGCCAAATGTCTAAAGGCTCAGGCCAGGACTGCTCCCAATTCATACTGGGAAGGCGTTAACAGAGCAGGTGCCTGCCTGACCCGTGAACTGACAAAAAAGGAGGTAGCAGTATTATATGGAGAAGCACTGAAAGTCAGAAAATAGAGGGAATGAAGCCAGTCTGATCTGATGGCAACACCTCCCTCTGAGTCCTCTCTGGAAGAAGGAAGAAACTCACTTGGAGTGATAATCTCCAGACAACAGAGATCACTAAGAAAGACCCTTTCCTGTGATGTATCACACCATGAGATCTATATTTTGTTTTGTCCACTAAACTACAATAATGAGTGGTGTTGCTAAAGTGCCAGTCAGTTCCAACTCATACCGACCCTATGTAGGGTTTCTGAGGAGTGGCTGGTGGATCTGTACCACTGATCTTTTGGTTAGCAGTCCAGTGCTTATCCTACAGTATCACACCAGGGCTCCCAATAATGAGTTGTTGTTAAGTGCCATCGAGTCAGTTCTAACTCACAGTGTTCTTGCATAGGGTTTCCAAGGAGTTACTTGTGAGTTTGAACTGCTGACCTTTCAGTTAACAGTTCAGTGCTTATACTACAACGTCATGCCAGGGTTCCCAAATAATGTGGTGGTGGTGGTGGTTATGTGCTGTGGGGTCAGTTTCAACTCATAGCGACCCTGTATAGGGTTTCCAAGGCTGTAAATCTTTATTGGAGCAGAGAGCCTCATCTTTCTTCTGCAGAACAGCTGGTAGTTTCGAACTGCTGACCTTGAGGTTAGCAGCCTGACTTGTAAGTACTACGCTACCAGAGTAGTAACTCATTATTTATTATTAATCAGAAAAAAGATTTAATCCAGTGATTTTCAAATTTAGTGTATACTAAAATTATCTGGCAGGCTCCTAAAAACTCAGATTGCTTGTCCTCACCCTCAGAATTTCTGATTTAACAGATATTAAATGGATTCCTGGTGTGGTGCTGTAGGATGAGCACTGGACTGCAAACCACAAGGTCAGCAGTTCAAACCCACCAGCTGCTCTTCAGGGTCGCTATGAGTTGGAACCCACTCCATGGCACTTAAAGATGACAACAAATGGAGCCTAAGAGTTTGCATGTCAAACAAGTTGCCAGTTGATGCTTGTTGATCGACCAAACTTTGAGAACAGAGTTAATTGAAATAATTTATTGAAGATATAAAAATTTCCCTATCAGAGCTTATATTCACATGCAGTAGCTAACAATACAATGAATTTCTGTATTTTCAGCAAAAGTAAAGAAATGGATACTAATGTTTAACGTGTAAACTTGTCATGAATAAAATCCTATTTCTTGTAATTTTTAAAATTGAAAATTATCTCTGGATAATTATGGTCCCAAGCCCACAGGGGCCTAAGGATCCTATCATAAACTCAATAGGATCCTTTCCAATTCTAACATGGTATGACAGGATTTAATTTGAAGCTTAAATTAATCTATGGGCCCTTTAGAAATCAGCTACTGCTGTTCTGCAGCTGACCAGATGATGTCACTGCAGAACAAAACAACCTATCTCCTGAGGCCTATGAGACTGCCTATAAGGGAGATTTTAGAATCTCTTCACTATTACTATCCAGCTGTCCCTTTAAATATAAAATCAAGGTTTTCTTCAGTGAAAGGTGAAATGAAATGTTAGCAATGTATCAGAAGAACCTTCAAGTTTTGCACCCCCCAGGCTGTCATTAAGAAAGAGTTATAAATATTTGACTTACGATTTGTAAAATAGACTATATGGGGGATTAGCAGCCAGCAGCTGGGTAATGACAGATATAATCACAATTACAAGGACTGGAAGTAACTGGATAAATGCAGAATATGTAGTCTGAAAAAGACAAGTATTGGGTACAATGTTATTCTTCAATATAGAGCACATTGGTAAAATAAGATAATTTTCCCAAAGAAAATACAAATCACCAACGTACTGCTCAAAAGAGTCCACAAAGCCCAATGTTCTTCTGGGTAGACTGTTGTGCTTTCTTTTGAAATGTACCAAACAACCCTCATTTTCTCTAATGAGATGGCTAAAGGAGGCCCGCCTGCCACCCATAGTCATCCTCAAGCTCTCTTTTCGAAGACCAATGAAGTAGACACTTCTGGGGAGTCTGTCCACACTGTGGACCTCATGAGATTGGGGGGCAGCTTCTGGGAGCTATGTCAGTGTTATACAACACCTTTTCGTTGGGCACAGCTGATTGGACTGGGGGAAAAGCTAACTCTACCAGGGATAATCATATTCATCCTACTAGGTATTTGGGATTAAGATTCATCCGCCTGCACTGCTAGGCAGTCAGTCACTTGAAAAAAAAACATATACTCTCAGGCACTGTGGAGTAGAGAGAACACAGAAGATGTATGTTGTTGTTGTTGTTAAGTGCCACTGAGTCATTTCCGACCCTTAGTGACCCCGTACAGGGTTTCTGAGGAGCAGCTGGTGAGCTTGAACCACCAATCTTGCAGTTCAAACAGGTTTACAGTCTGGTGCATTAATCACACCAGAAGATAAATAGAGAGATGTAGAAAAACTGGAGATACAATCTAGCCCCAAGCCTGGGTGCCTGAGACATGCCGTCTGCCATGAGGCCCAGCCAAGCTTCCTGTCTTTGAGGTTCAGGAGTTGCCCTTGATCCCTAATCTGAAATCCCCTATTAGTTCTGAATATTTTGAAGGGGCCTATTTCATGCAGTTAAGATCAAGACAGCTCCACAGGGGAACTGAGTTCCTGGAAGTGGCATCAAAGAATGAGGGAAGTGGAGGTAGAAACCATTCTGGCCTATTTTGGTCAGTTATCCAGTTCTTACTATCGCCCCTACTTTCCTAATAATATTTTAGCACTATATTTCAAGTTTGACTTCTAAAACCTGATCATATGTCACAAAAGTCAGTTCAGTACAACTGTTTATGGACAGCACCTTTCCTCTCCTCTCTAGGTACCTGAGGTTTATCTTCTTCCTCTTCCTTCCGTGCCTGCATCCTCTCATGTCTGTGATGCCGGTGGTAATAGTGGGTATCATCTGTCACATTTGAAAACATATGAATATTTCCTGGTTCAAAGAAAGAAAAATACTTAGTATGAACTATGGAAAGCTTTCCTTCCTTGACTTTTTCAAGGTCTCTGCACCCAACTAGATTCTTTGAGGGCACTGTCCCATTTTACTGAATAGAAAACATTGAGACAATAGTACGCTAAGTGAACCAGGTGGAAATAGAGTGTGCCTAGTTCTCCAGCCTTTATTTAGATTGCTTTTGCAACTAGTGAGTGAGGAACTCCCTCTTCCCCACAGGCTAGTGAAGGAAAGTTTTGGGGCCATAGAGCCTGTCTGACATGTTCATGTCTGCTTCCTTGCCCAATATTAGATTCTGTCACTGGTATCATTAATAGCACTCATAAAATTCAACTTACTTCCTAGACATTTAATTATCCCAACTTTCAACTCCTTTGGGGTACTTTTGTAATTTTTATCTTTATACAGCAATTTTACAACAATAATAAGAATAGGCATTTTGCTATTTATTTATAAAGTACTTAAAAAGCTCTAAGCCTTACAGAAGCCTTGTGAGGAAGATACTATATCAGTCCCTATTGCAGGTGAGAAAACTGAGTGTTACAGTGACTACATGATTTAGACAATTCATGCACAACTGAAAAACAGTCTCAAATCCCAGATCCTGATTTAAAATCCTTGCTGTTTTCTATCATATAACTGACACTGTTGCTCAGACAAAGCCACAAGTATGCATATATGTGTGTATGTATATATGTATGCATATATGTATGTATTTATTTTAACAATAATTTGGAGATACTAACCTGTAGGAAAATGTCCTCCAAAGAAGACATTGAAGAGTTCTTCTGGAGTGATATCGGCTTCAAAGTCCTTGTAATAATTATAAGGTCTGGCTTGAGGAGCAGTGAAAGTCACCTGTTCATCTCCATATTCATCATAGCGGAGTCTCTTGTCAGGATTGCTCAGGACGGCAAAGGCATTTCCTATTGCTGCAACCCAAAGCAGAAAGCATGTGAGCACACAATCTTTCTTGTAGCCAAGGGTAATCACAGTAGCAGTGATGAAGAGCCCAGAGTAAACTGTTACTGAACAACTTCACAGGGGCCCAACGAGAGATGCGTGGGCCTGGAATGCTCAATAAAGTGCTTGCCCTTGAAATTTTCCATAATCTAATTTGATAAGCCAGAAACAACACTAGAGTCAATCAGATTAAGAACTGTTGAAGTGAAAGTTCCCTTCTAATCAATAATTCTTGAATTATCTCTGTTGTCCTATAAGTCTGAATCCCACATTCCAAGTTGCCAATCACTGAAAAAACCAGACATGCTGGGGAAATGCTGCTGACTGGCTGGCCCTCATCAAAAATGTATTCTTCAGGACATCTAAAATACCACCACCTTCTTCCAGGATCTTCAGAGCATATATGTATGATTAACTTGGCCTGGCCATAATGCATACTTATGAATGACTGTGAGCAAAATGCCTCTAATGAATGGAGAACCCGAGTCCTCTTTATGGATGCTATTTTACCATATGTGAGTATTTGTGCTTCCCAGTCACTTCTTCTTATGCAAAAGGCATAAAATTAAGTATTTCTTTTCCATTCTTTTCTGAATTCGTCCATTAGGATGTGTCTTAAGCAACCACATCCGAAAAGCAGGTACAAGAAATAATCATGGAAATTATTTTCTACAGTAGAATGTCAAGAGAAAAAAAAAAGTTAAATAGAGATCCTCAGTTAAGTGGAATGATGCGCTGTTTAGCTTACAGCAGGGATATTTTTTTAAGCAAAACAATCATTTCCATCACCCCCCAAAGTGTTAGACCACAAAAGAGACCACCACTGAAGTTACTGCAGATGAGAAATTGTGGTAAGTGTTTTTTTCAGTTTAAAAGTTTGTATAACACTATTTAGTACTTGTCTATCAAAAGTTAGTTTCACATATAATGTCTCACTTGAATCAATACTGACAGATATATATGGTAACATGCCAATTAGATGGAAACTAAACTTTTCCTAGAAAGTGTTCACAGAACATCAATCAAAAGGTCAAAATCACACATCAGAATAAAACTGTTTTCCAATATTATTATTTTTTTTTTTACTTGATAGTAGTAGTTATGGTTTGGAAATAGTTCACACTTAAATAGTGGTACCCTAACTTGAAGTCCTGTAGGATGAGCATTGGACTGCAAGGTTGGTTTGAACTGCAAGGCCAGTGGTTCAAACCTACCAGCTGCTCCTCAGAAACCCTACACAGGGTCGTTATGAGTTGGAACTGACTCGATAGCACTTAACATCAGGAACAACAACTTGCAGTAGGAAAAAATCTTCCAAATAAAATAATCAGTAAAAATCAAGCAGAAAAAAATTTAAATCCTCCCAGAGTCCTCATCAGTCTTATTTCAGCTTACTTTAAAAAACCCCTAGATGAAGGACAAAAGCCTGAAGTGATCACATACATTTGCCATTACTTCTCTTCCCTAGGCACAAGTAGGCAAGCTTTGCCCAACTTCTTTTAAACATACAATCAATAGAAACCTTGAAAAAATACTTTAAGACAGTCTCACCCTACACCTCTGAATCAATCAACACTATCAGAAAGAGCTTTTTTTTTTTTTTCTTAAAGAGTATTTCTTTATGATTTATGATACCATAAATCTTTATGATTTATGATTTATCTAGCTAGGGAATTGAGTTTCATGGATTAGCCAAGTGACAGCATCAATAGACTCAAGTGTGGCAACAGTAGTGAGGTTGGCCCAGGATCGGGCAGTGTTTCATTCTGCTGTGCCTAAGGTCGCTTATGAGTCGGTACCGACTCAATGGCACCTAACAACAACAAGGATGAAAAAGCTAAGCAGAAAAATCTACACAATTGCTTAAATATTTAAATTCCTTGAAATCTAAAAGATTTCCCAAAGAAATGTCATTAGTCTTGGGAGAAACCTTATGTGAAAGTAGAAAGAGAATGTGGATTGTTTCATCACAGAAATTATAGACAGAATTAGTTTCTCTGTGGTATATCTACCAAAGTAGATTGCTTCCTAAGGTAAATGTTGACTTAAAACATTTTTTTTATTTCTCAGGCTCTCGCTCTATTTTTTTTAACTTCCATTTTGAAAAATTTCAAACCTATAGAAAAATTGAAAGAAAAAAAAATTGTACAATGAATGCTTGTATACGCTTCACTTTGATTCACAATTTGTTAGCATATTTGCTACATTATTTCTCTCCCATAGAGCATAATACATTCACCCATATATATGTTGTTGTTAAGTGCCATCAAGTCTGTTCTAACTCATAGTGACTCTGTATAGGGTTTCTAAGGAGTGACTGGTAGGTTTGAACTGACAATCTTGCAGTTAGTGCTTATCTTATAGTGCCACAGCAGGACTCCACCCACACAATTATAATATATATAATTTGCTATGCTGAATCATTTAAAAGTAGGCTGCATATACTATGACATTTCATCACTAAATACCTTAGCATACATCTACTAAAAGAAAAATATTCTCCTACATGACCATAGTACATTATTACACCTAAGAAAATTAACATCAATAGGTCCATTCAAAGTTCATGTATTACATTTGGTTTTGTCTCCTTAGTTTATTTTATCAGGCTCCTACCTTTTTTGTTTTTCATTATATTGCATTTTTTTTAAAATTAGGCTAGTGGTCCTATAACCGACTCCACGGCACATAACAACAACAAAAGTGTTCCTATAAAGTATCTCATATTCTGATCATTTCTTTATTATTAGATTCAGGTGAAACATTTTGGCAAGAATATCGCATAGGTGCTATTTGTTTTGCATCAAAACACACGTTAGTTTGTTCCACTTTGGTGATGCTTACTAATTGGATCACTGACCAAATTGGTGACAACCCAAATCTTCAATATAAAGGATTTTCCCCCCTGTAATCAATAAATGGAGCAAAATCAATAATTCTGTGAGTGAGACTTTGAGATCATGTGAGTATCTTATTCACCAACACCCAATCATCCAATGAGTTTGGCATCCACTGATGATCCTTGCTTGAATCAATGACTTCACTGGGTGAAGGTCTTAAGTGAAATTTTTATTACATGTTAAATCCAAAATACTTTTTTAGATTGTATTTATGAAATTATCACTAAAATTAGTAGAATATTTAATCTATCATTAAAGATTAAATCTTTATTCCACTGATTTTAAGCTTGTTTTTATATACAGCCTTTCCATATGTACACGTTAATTAGAGGGCTTTCATGAACAAAGAGTTTTATGGTCAAAAAAGTTTGGGAATGCTGCTTAGTTACTACTTGCAAGCTGCCTAAATTCCACAAGAGGAATCATATTTGGTTTGCTCACACTGGAACACTGTACATAGAAAGACTTCATTATTTGCTGAATCATTGAATGAAAGGCTATAAAAGGTATTGCAGAAAAAACAAATATGTTTCTAAAAGTAATTAAAATTAAGGTGGGAAAGAGCTACATGCTGATAATAATTTTTAAAGAGGGGTGTGTGTGTGTAAACCTGCTATGACTTTAGCAAATACAAATTAGGCTAAGAATAACTTCTTAGGATCAACCTGTAGAAAGGCAGAATTAAACATCAGTTTAGGCTCAAACCTTTGAAAGCATCTGTTGCTCCAGGAGCACAGTTCTTGTCAGGGTGAAATTTCAGGGCGAGTTTTCGATAAGCTTTCTTAAGTTCTTCATCACTGGCATTTCGTGAAACTCCCAGAATTTCATAGTAATTTCTGCATTTTTTGATCCTATAAAATACATTAAAAAAATGTATGTTTACAAAGGCTCCTTTTGTACAACTAACTAAAAAATAGCATAATGATTTTTCCTCCAACCTCTGATCCCTAAAACAAAGTGAAAAGAAACTTGGTGAACACATCAATGAAACACTAAAACTCAAATTGTTTAACAAAAATGTAATACCTTTCACATCAACTATTTTATTTTTTCTATATCCTTGCAAGTAGGCAGAACAAGTATGCTGATCTTTACATCAACATACAGGCTAAGGTTCTGAGAGATGAACCACAGGACAGTAAAATCAGAAAAAAAAAAAAAAAAAAAAACCCCACAAAACCTAACCACCCTATTGATTTCTCTCTTTCATTTTTCTATGGGCAGCCTTTTAAACTTTGATTTAAACAGTTTATATACATAGTAGAAGGGAAAAAAAATCAACAGTACTAAACTACATGTACAAAAAATTTTCTTTGTTCCCTATTCCCTGTACCCCAGTCTCCCACCCTAGGTGCATTCACTCTTAGAAGTTTCTTATGAATTCTATCTATGGCAGCATATAGGTACAAAGATATCCTTATCTAAATCAAAGTATATTATAGTTATCTTTCTATATCTTACTTTTTTTTAGCTAACAATATACCTTGGAGATTGATCCATATTACAAAGATGGGAAGAAGTACTGAATAATTTTAGACTAGAGTGGCAGTTCCAAAAAAAATTATTTAATCTTTCATTGTGCTTTAGGTTAAAGTTTATATTGCAAATTAGTTTTTTCAATCAATAGTTCTACCACTCATCTGTCACTGTGGTGGCTTACATGTTGCTATGATACTGAAAGCTATGCCAGTAGGGTGACCCATGGTGGACAGATTTTAGCAACGCTTCTAGACTAACACAGACTAGGAAGAATGGTATAGGCGAGAAAAAAGACCCTATCTCCGAATATATAAATGTAGAGTCTTGTTATTAAGTATTAAACAGGAAGGAGTAAACAGAAGACAAAGACAAACATAGATTACCTAGGTGAGGGAAATCATAGACCCCATGATAAATTTCTAAAGTTCTATCCTTACATGGTGACCTTGTATAGGACACAAAGAACAAAGGCGAGATTTCCTCCTAGAACCACACCTGACAGCAGCAGCCATACATCCCATATGTATGCAGGGTCTATGGAGAGAAGGAAGTAGACTATATGTAGATAGGAAAAGTTTACAATTTCTGAGGTTCTTGGAGTATAGCATCACAACCATTAAGGGATGTGTCCAGGAATATTTCTGTAAGGGCTGGCTGGGGGAATTGGCTCAAAAACCACTGTTAAATATACTCTATTTTCTAACTCTGACAGTTCAGCAGTCAGAGGTGCATGAGATACTCAAGAAAAATTGGCATCTGAACACTTCTTTGCCTTGTTGGAGTCATTCACAGGCAAAAATCCTTTGGATTTTAAGTTCTACAGCAGAAGGAATAGGCTGACCATTTCTGAATAGTTAGCCACTGAAAAGCTTATAAATAGCAGTGGAACATTATCTGATATAGTGCCAGAAGATGAGTTCATCAGGTTGGAAGGCACTCAAAATATGACTAGGGAAGACCTGCCTCCTCAAATTAGAGATGACCTTAATAATGTGGACAGAGCAAAGCTTTTAGGACTTTCATTTGCTTATGAGACACGACTCAACCTGAGAAGAAACAGCTGCAAACATCCATTAATAATCAGAAAGTGGACTGTATGAAGTATGAATCTAGAATAATTGTAAGTCATTAAAAATGAAATGGAAAGCATAAATATCAATATACTAGGTAATAGTGAGCTGATAGGGAAATGTATTAGCCAGTTTGAGTTTGATAGTCATATGGTTTATTATCTCGCTGCTGAAGCTCTCGCTGCCTCTGGAGACTTTTCTTGTCCTTTCCAGATTCTAGAGCTACATTCCTTTCATTCTTTTGCTCTTGGCTTCTTTCTCCACTTTCAAGGCCAGCACCTTCAACACTCTCTTTGCTTCTTCACATTGCCTTCTCTGAGAATATCAGAAAGATGTTTACCTATGCTTTATTGACTACGCAAAGGCTTTCGATTGTACGGATCTATGGACAACACTGAGAAGTATGAGTATTCCAGAACACTTAATTGTACTTTTGAGAAATCTGTACCTGGACCAAGAAGCAGTTGTTCCAACAGAGCATGGGAACACTGTTACAATGTTACAATACCTTCCCTCCTTCCCTCTCCCTTCCCTCCAACTCCATTTTGTCTGTTTCCCTGCCCTAAGCTACAACGCACATTTAGTTTAAAAGACAACATGGCTTTTGATAGGCCAGAGCTAAATCACCCCAGCAATGACCACTACCTTCCTGTTGAACCTATATAAGTCCCCTCCCTTCCAGTTGACTCCTCTCTCTCTTCTTCTTCTTCCTCTCCTCCCGTCTGCCTCCTGCCTTCTCTCTCCGGCAGAGGTTATCTTCCTCACCCTGAATAAAAGTCTCTATCTAGATGGGCCATTTGGAGTGAGGTGTGGTTGATGAGCAGCACTGGGGTTGTTTTTCCCCTTTCAAACACTGTATGTTTTAAAATTGGGAAAGGTGTGCGACAAGGTTGTGTTCTTTCACCATACTTATTCAACCTGTATGCTGAGCAAATAATACGAGAAGCTGGGTTCTATGAAGAAAAACGTGGCATCAGGATTGGAGGAAGACTCATTAACAACCTGCGATATGCAGATGATACAACCTTGCTTGCTGAAAGTGAAGAGGACTTGAAACATTTACTGATGAAGATCAAAGAACACAGCCTTCGGTATGGATTGCATCTCAATGTCAAGAAAACAAAAATCCTCACCACTGGACCAATAAACAACATTCTTATCAATGGAGAAAAGATTGAAGTTGTCAAGGACTTCATTCTTCTTGGATCAACTATAAACATTTGTGGAAGTAGCAGTCAAGAGATCAGACGACGTATTGCATTAGGCAAATCTGCTGCACAGGAACTTTTTAAAGTGTTGAAGAGCAAAGATGTCAGCTTGAGGACTAAGGTGCTCCTGACCCAGGCCATGGTATTTTCAATAACCTCATATGGATGTGAAAGCTGGACAGTGAATAAGGAAGATCGTAGAAGAATTGATGCCTTTGAGTTGTGGTGTTGGAGGAGAATACTAAAAGTGCCATGGACTGCCAAAAGAACCAATAGATCTGTTTTGGAAGAAGTGCAGCCAGAGTGCTCCTTGGAGGCCAAGATGGCTAAACTTCGTCTCTCATACTTTGGACATATTGTCAGGAGGGAACAGTCGCTGGAGAAGTATGTCATGCTGGGTAAGATGGAGGGTCAGAGAAAAAGAGGAAGATGGATTAGCCAGGTGGCATCATTGATGGCGTCAAGTGTGGCAGCAGTAGTGAGGTTGGCCCAGGATCGGACATTGTTTCATTCTGCTGTGCATGGGGTCGCTATGAGTCGATTCTGACTCGATGGCACCTGACAACAATGGTTTATTATGTCAGGAATGACAAACTGAAAAGGAATGGCTACATTCATCATCAAAAAGAACATTTCAATATCTATTTTAAAGTAAAATGCTGTCTGTGTTAGAATAATATACATACAGCTACAAGGAAGGCCAGTTACTACAACTATTACTCAAATTTATGCACCGATCACCAAAGCCAGTAATGAAGAACTTTACCAACTTCTTCAGTCTGAAATTGATCAAACATATAAACAAGATGTATTGGTAATTACTGGTGATTAGAATGTGAACGTTAGAAACAAAGAGGAAGGATGGGTAGTTGGAAAATATGACCTTGGTGACAGAAGTGAAGCTGTAAATCACATGATAGAATTTTGCAAGACCAAAAACTTACTCACTGTAAATACTTTGAGCATTTCTGATCCCGAATTGTAACCTCTTACTTCCCTAATAACCCCCATAACTGTGAGTCTGGTCTGTGAGTTCTGTGTGGACACTGCAATAGATGATTGAGTGTAGCTGAGAAGTCGAGAGCGCTGTGGGAGGGATGGACAGCTGGTGTCAAAATTGATGA